CTGACGGCTCCGGAGCATGCCCCAGCTTCACTCAGCCCTGGGAAAAGGGACTCAGAAATTCAAAGGGAGAGACAGAAAGACAGCTCCACCTCACGCAGCCGAGAAGCAGAGCACAGTGCAAGTTGTCCTCCTTCCCTGGCATTAATTTTTCTACATGCACAGTCAGCTGTGCTCTTCTGACAGTGCTGTAAGAGCTTGCTGCTCCTCAGAGCATCCAAGCGGTAGTTGAAAATGACCTGGTTCACTCCGCACTGGCGTGAAAGAGGAGCGCTCAGCACAGCTGGTCAACATGCTGGTGCTGGAGAAGTAATCACTGCTGAGAGTGCACAAACTCAACCAGAAAAGTACCTTTTAGTACACTGCCTCCAAGGACGTAAATTTCAAAAGTTAACCTTCTCTTTACATCGTTGCCAACCAGCAACATCAGGGATATCTATGAGAAAACTTATTTATTACACACTACTATTTAAAAACTCCTACAGTTCTTCAGTGTGTCAGAAAATGCAGTGCGACACTACAAAACAACTAAGAAAAAAGCTGATAGACCCAAGTACACAACACAGGATGATGGAATTTTAATTAAGTGTGTGAGGGCACCACAGGTCTGAACTTTCTGGATTCCAGTTTTACATGTGTCCCTTGCAAATGTTGCAGGAAATACTCTTAAATGCACATCTGGTGTATCTATCCTCACAGGCTCTCTCCACTGTAATTAAGCAACACGAATGTGAAAATCAGGCCCTCAGAAAATCCTGGTTTGCACCTTTTCAGGAAAGCAGAGCTAGGGAGGAAGATACCAGACCAGGGACTTTCAGGATTGCCTGGAGATGGAAAGAGCAAGAGATGAAAATATGATAGAAGGTGGTGCATCAAAATGGAAAGCGATGCAGCTGAAGCACTGGGCAAGGCTACAGTCAGCAATCCGGGCTAGCGCGAGAACGATGCAACGTGTGAATGACCTTGTTCTAAGGGCAGTTTTTAGAGTAAGGATCAGGAAGGTGCCACATCCATACAATACAAGGAAGGTGCAACAGAGCTGGATACGCATGACTTGAAGTGACAGAGGAAAGCAAGTGAGCCGGAAGAGCAAAGGACAACCTAGTAAGTTAGTGATACTCATTTTACAGAAAGTTACTGGGGTAATTTGCTTAAGGCTGCTTAAATCAGCATCACAGAACCATGAAAAGGCTTTGCTTATACAAAAAACCCCAGCCATTGTGTGCTTCCTTTGCTCCTGATACAAGTTCAAGGAATTCTGCAGCAAAAGCAATCATTTCCATGATTCAGGTTCAGGAACAGGAAAGTTGCATGGGTTAAAGTATGCATTTAATTTTCTTTCATGTGTTAGCTCTGGCGCAGTTTTACCCCTTGCAGAAGTGATTCAGCACACATTGCCAGGAGAAAGCAAACTTTTTTTTTTTTTTTAGAATTGTTTTTTTGGCGTTGTTTTGGAGGTTTTTATTACTCAGTTTTTGCTGGCTTGAGCTTGGTAAGAAAACAGATGAGCACTAGAACTAGCATGAGACAATCCGTGGCAGCGTGCGGCTGGGACCATCTCTTTTGGCAAAAGGAAGCTGTTAAATGAGCTCAGTTGCCTCATGACACCTCACTGTACACAAAACAGCAAGTGACAGGCTTTCCAAAAAGCTATTTGTTTCACCAGGAATTCAAAAACAAGCTTCTTCCAGCAGCTGTTGGGAAAGACCAGATTTGCATAGCAACCCGGGGACTATTTGTACAGGGCTTTTTTGTGAAGGATGAGATTAAATTCTGTTACACAGGAGGGGTGAAAGCTTTCTCCTCCTAGAAGCATCAGAGAAAAGACTGCTTCTAAGTCTTAAGAAGCTATTTTCTTCCTAACAACTGTCTTGGATTTATTTTCTCATGTAACAGGAAATACAGGGTACTTGGCTTTCATGTTTACTTAAGCAATTATTTTGTAGCATCTCCTTTTTTTTCCCCAAGGAAGCACTTTTTAGGCCTAAGTCATGTTGTTGGGACTTTTTTTTCTTTTTGGTATTTAAATGTATTAACTGCAAAGGCATAAAAATCAGTACTCTGGAGCATGCTCAGGCCTAAAGATAAGGCTGCTCAATAGAGATCACTGTTTCCACTGCTGATTCCAGAGGAGGGTATGTTTCCATATACAACAAGTGCCCTTTATGTCAACAAGGCTGAGAAGACGTCTTGTCCAACCCAGACAAATGCAGTTTTTGAAAAACATTTTCTTTTGCTGGAAGGCAGAAGGCTGGGGTTTGGCCAAGGAAGGCGGCCAGTCGGCACAAGGGTGTGTGGCCACACGTGGTGCATCCTCCCCGCTCCCACGGCAGCCAGGAGCAGCCCCATAAGCAGGGCTCTGCAGGGAGACATGTGGCCCCAAGTCCTCCAGTGATGTGCTGAGGGGCCTGGGGGCCTGGACCTGCTTCTGCTCTGAGATATGTATCCAGGGCAGGGGGATGGGCAACAGACAAGAGGAGCCAGACAAAAGGCATCGCACAGTAAAGATGAGAGCACATCAGGGATCACAAATATCCCAGAGAAAACCAGACTGAGAGCAGCAAAGGAAAGAAATGAGGAGTAATTGTTTTTAATGTGGCAGCTTTATTAGCATTTGAATATCAGCAATGAAACATGTCTTCTGCAGGCATTTAACTTCCCCCCCCCGCCTCCTCTCACCTATGAAAATGACCGCAAGCTCATGGAAGGTAAAAATCAGCATGGCACCTTATTAACAAAGTCTGTAGGCTCCCATCTAGGCAAAGAGAAGTGTTTGCCGCAGTCGACCCCAGGTACTCTTCCTTCTTTGTGAACTGGCTTGTCCAATGTGAGTTTTAGTACCCAATTAAAAAATTTACACCCTCAACAGCATCCAGCAGGGCTTCAGTAATATGGCTGTGGCCGAATGGGAAAGGATAAACTAGGAGGCAGAAGTAATTAAGCCACTCAGCAGCTTACATGTTACGCTCAGTTTCTGAGGCCAGCCAAGTCATGGGTAAACTGCTCTGGGTTAGATAAATTAAAGTTCAGCTTTACTGCCCATGGTAACAAGTTATTCTCTTGATCAAGTTTAAACACCAGTACTTCTCCTGGCCCTGCCCGTCACTCATTTGCTTGAAATCTTTCACATTTGGGCCCACAAAAAGCATGTCTTCTTTCTTCCAAAAGCAGCTTTAGAAGAGAGTGGGTTTGTCTGGAGTTTTGGTGGTGTTTTTCCCCTCCCCATCTAAACTCCTCCCAGAGCAGGACACAGACTTTCAGGCATAGCTGCTTCCTCCCAAAACATATGTCATGGCATACATATTGATATGCATCAAATCAAAGGAAGCCAGGGTTTGGATCACAGAGCCCTGGGTTTGTACTACTGTGCCCTCAGTCACGCTGTCCTCATTCATCTCCAGTTAATAAGCAGTTAAAACCTGCTCACTTGAAGAAAAAAAGTAGAAGGGGCCGCACTGTCATTTATCCATTGTGGGCAAACATCTTTCTGGAAAATGATGCATTTGTCTGTAACACCACAAAGCCAGCTTAGGTGGCACAATGTCATCCAGGTTTTGGGTACAATTCACAAATGTTATATGTTAACCACTGTTAAATATTTGGAAAGTATTTGAAGTCACTCCCATTTCACTAATTGTTAGCCCCTAATGGTAGTTTCTGATTAATACAGGAGCAGAAGGAGATTCAGGCAAGAAGCAGCACAGGAAAAATACAGAAAAGTACACATACAAACTAATATATCCAACTTATTCTTTGCCACCCTTTATTTTAGGGCTCAGTACCCAGTCAGTTCAGAATACACATCACATTTGATAATTGTTTTGGTTAGTAATAACAATAGATTCACTTGGATTTATTGGACACAGCATACTTTATTTAATGCCAATCGCCGGAAATGTACTAATGCCTGCTGACAGTGCTCTCACACTGTGTCTCTCCAAACAAGAAATGAGGTCATCATGATTCATGTAATAATCTGATACACATTTTGTGGCAATCTGTAAAAGTTTTTAAAATTCCTAAATGAGGACATTTTGGTTGTTTTGGTTTTTTCCCCCTCCTCTCTGCAATTACGATTTCCCAAGTGGAAGACCAAACTTTAGAAAATCCAGGGAGAAACTGTTTACTCACTTTCCAGTCTTCAGTTCTGCTTTTTTTTTTCCCCTTTCCTCACTGAAGTGGAGGAACCTACACAGTTTGTTTCTTGTACAGAGTGCTGCCCTTCTCTGGCAAGAAGGGAGTCTTCTTTAATTAAAAATGACATCCCAGAAAATTTGCAATTAGAGAGGATCAAGGTGCAAAGAGAACAGCCTGAGGAAATACTTTTGCAAAGACGGCAGGAATTGTTGAGAATTATGATGGGGCAAGAGAAATAGGTATTGTAACTACCTTTCTTTTCTTCTAAGCTTGGGCTGGGAAAAGGTAGAAAACACCCTGTATTTACAAGAAAAGAACAGAAACAAGACTGATCCTTAGGCATAATATTACATACTGCACCTGGATTTTTTGAATTACTAGCTACAGAGAACAGAGAAGTTCAGGTACCACCTCAAGTATCTAAATTAAAATCTTCTCTACCTCTAGCTGTAGGACGAGCAAAGTGCAGACCACGAAGGGCATTCCTGGAAGGACCTCCAGGCAGAGATGGCCGTGTTCCAGCACCTGCAATTGCAGAACGTGTGGCTGAAACAACTCTGCTGCAAAGAAGTGCTGGGACTCCCTCCTCCAACGCATCTCCAGCACGAGTCCCCACTGTCATATCGAGGTGGCCCAGGTGAGCCAAAGAGAAAGGGGGGGGCGCAAGACAGGGAACTGCTGTCATCTTCTGAGGCCTCAGCATCAGGGTCCCTTAGTCTGGTGCTTGCACTGCGGTCCAGCGAAAGGCAGCACAGCACATTGCACAAGCCCTGGTGGGGTCATTAGGAGATTCCACAAAACTTTCCTGAGTGGCTTAAGAGATTTTTTTTTTTTTTTGGCACAAAATAGCGATACATAGCACTTACCCATTTCTGAAGGCTTGTCTTCTTCCAAGCCAAATAAAAACTCATATTTGGCCTTGGCAACAGTCTGGGCGTGAGCCGATACATCATTATCCCACACAAGTGCTTCTGCCTGTGGAGTCAAAATAAACAAAGTTATCTACCTTTCAGTGAAATAACAGGAGCAGGAACATGAAATCCCTCCAGGTGGGCTGTCAGGTAGAATTTTCAGAGTGTTCATTTAACTCTGTCACCATCAAGATCACCCAGAGCAGACACAGGCCAACTCAAAGTGCTTTTGAAGAGCTCACCTCTCTGTCTTCAAACACAAGCAGCTCAGTACCAAGCAGTGATGTTGGAGCACCCAACCCCTCACATCTTTAGTCAGTTTACCCACTTCAAGGCCAGCAGCTTTGGGAAACCATCTCAGTTTACCACCCAGTTAGGGTTAAAAATGCCTAGGGAATAGTATCAGAAATAGCAAATTTGAGTATGGATGTCATAGAACTGAGACCCATGGGAAAACCATAAATGGGGCAAGCTGCTTTCTTTGGGAGGAGAGTGGGCCTGAGAAAAGGAGGAGCAAGGGTACAACAAGGATGATCAAAAATGGGAAAAAAGATACTACGGTATGCAACTGTGTGGCGAGTGCTGTCTGAGGGTCCCCGTTGGGTATCCCACGCCTGACCAGCACCGTCTAGATCCGAACAACTGCCCAACCTGTTTTTATGACCGTACCACCCAAGTCAAACCTGCTTCTGTGGCCATGAGGCAGGGAGTGGGCACTGGGTGGTCGCCCCGGCTAGTGGAGGAACACCTGGGAAGAGGAACAAACAGACAGATCAAGCATCCCAGTGCCACACAGGCATCTTACCACTGCTTCCTACTCATAAGAAGCAGTTTGGCACAAGAAAGGTCCCATTTCTCAGAGGAGAGAAAGGCTGCAGGACTAAGATTAAAATTAGTTTTCTGAACAGGTGGGGACAAATCAAATCTCCAAGATAAAGCACACACCAGCAATAAACTGTACTGCAAAAACTGTCTGCAGTCAGCATTAAGTTTCTTCCCAGCTGGGCAAGACGGAGCCTGTAATTCTTCTGTCTGAAGTGACAGATGAAATAAATCATTAACTCTATAAATTCTTTAGTGACCTTTAAATTCATACCCTATGTTTGAGGCAGCCAGTTGTTACAGAATAGCAAGTCACTGCAAGGTTCACACTGGCAAAAGGCCTTAGCTTACAAAAATACTCTTTTTTTTTTAAAAAAAAGCCAAATAGAACATTCTGCCCCCCAGGACAGTAATAACATTTATTCACTTCCACCAAATACCTTAGGGTAAGCGTCAACTACAAACAGAAATTCAAAGTACAGGAGACACATAATTTACGAGAACACAAGGTCAAGGCTTTTTAATCAGAGATGGATGGAATCACAAATCCATACATACCTCTAAGGCCAGCTCTCCAGCAATTACAGTTTCTTCCAAGAGCATATTGACAAATAACTAGCTTGCCCCATGCCCTAGAACTGTTTTGCTCCAGGTGTTCCTGGTCTTTCACCCTTACTTCTCCCACCTTTCTGCACTGCAGCAGTTCTGCAGGATTTAGTCCAACACAGCACTGTAATAAGGGGGCAGTAGATCTTCCACAGGGGTGGAAGATCGCCTATATTTACCATTCACTGGTCCAGCTGTTCATCACTGGGCCTCCAATGGGTACTTTGATGAACCTGCTAACACTAGCCTATCAAATACTTAGGGAAAAAGGTGATGAAACAGATGAAAGGCTTTCTAGCACAAAGATGACTGTCATGAGCATGATGAAATGAGCTTGGAAGAAGCCTCCATGTCTCCCCTGCTTTAACAGGTCTGCATTTATTTGCAGGAAGCGGGGCTGGAAGGTCTAGAAAGGGAACATCTGGACCCAGGGCACACAGGAGGAGGCCCCTTGGTCTGGCAATAGCCTGGACAGGAGTGGCTTACAGAGCCAGACAAAAACTCAGCCTACCCAGATGGATGTGAAGGGAGAGAAAGCTAAACATCTAGCTGGTGCCAAATCCCACTCACAGATGAATGAAATGGAAAATCAAATGAACAGAGCAGTCCAGTTCTTAAGCCATCAGAAATTTCTAGTCTGCACACCTCTGCGACACAGCACCTCCATCCCTCAGCCATGCTCTTCGAGGCTTTACAGACATCTGAGCTTCCTGCCCATGAGAACATTTTCCAAGGGTATGTATTTGCCTGCACCTTACTGTAATGCAATGAGGAAGAGTCTGGTTCACAGCACCTTCTGCATCATCCAGTAGCAGGCAAGAATTAATGGCTCAATTAATGGTTTTTCAGTGTACAAGGCACCATTTATCAGACTTTGGTGCCTAAGCGGAGACTGTAAGACCTTTGTCTTGGCGCCTGAAAGGGATAACTTGATTTTCAGAAGTGCTCAGCACCACTGATGAGAATTACAGATACTGGCTCGAGCATGGGAACACTGAACCTAACATCTATTTAGGTTGTCAGAGCACTATAAGGATGTGTAAAGGTAAAGCAGTTCAGAGCCTCCAGGTCCAGGATAAGTTTATGATATTTCATCCAAACAAGAGATACTAAAACAAGAAAGCAAGAGAGTGAGACAATTAGGATGCTTATGAGGTCAGAGCTGGCTTTTATGACTCTTGCTTTACTGTTGCCCTTCCTTAGAGACCAAACAGAAAAGAAAAAAAAACAAACCACAACGACAAAACCCCAGAAAAATTGAGAGAGAACATGTGCTTTCCTGTTCTTCTTTCAATCTACCACTCATTCAACCTTGCAGAGGTCATCATGCCCCAAAACAGGAGCCCAGAAAAGGGCTGGACAAATGTTCATGGTGCTTTCCAAGCTGCATTAGCAAGGATTAAATACAATTAAGATTGGAAGGGATATAAAACTCCTGCTTAAGCTTTCTCCCTCAGCTCAAGGGCAAAGAAATCTGCATCCGGGTCAGCTCATTTCATAATTGCTTCCCTCAGAGGGCTTTAACCACCACCTTTGATGCATCTGGTGTTTGTCACTGCTAGAGAGGGTGACGCTCGCTCTGAACATCAATCCCCTTAAATCAGCCCAGCTGCCCATACATTTCTCGTGAGCCACATACACACTGTTTTTCAGTCCAATTACGCTCTGGGCAGAGCGGCAGTGAGTTCCTGCCCGTTCATTCACCACTCCTGCAGCGTTTTCTGCCTGTTTGAACATGTTTGATCAAGCCTACTTCTCTAGGTCACAGTTCTTGGTTGGGAGCTGGGTAGGCTGCATTTACCTCTTGGGTGAATTTTGTATATCATCCATGAGGCTGTGTTAGCTTGGACATGTCAGTCCTCACCCCTCAGACCTCCTGCCAACACACTGGACCAGGTTTTTTTTGACTTCACACAAGGCATTGGCATGGGTCAACAGAGGTCCCACCTTGCTGGGCTTTTGTCCCTTTTGCTGAGGGAGCAGAGACTGTTTAGGTCATGCCCATGGCGCTTGTGGTGGTTTCAGGCTAGCATGGGAAACGAAGCTGCTGAATCTGTGTCTCAGCACTGAACTGAACAGCAGCATGATGCTAAGACCTCAGGGATCCTGCTCCTCCAGCAGGAGCTGCCAAGGAGACAGATAAGTCAGCCCAGCATGAGGCACACACACTGCCTCTGAACTCTACTCTGCTGTCTGAACGTGCAAACCAGAGCATAGGACCACTAGCTACAAGGAGAAACCATTGCCACAGTTCACCCCTGAGAGGTGGCTTTAGGCAGGCCCCTGATGAGATTTGGCTGCTGTCTTTCCTAAAGTACAATGTCTCTCTCTGGATAAATTTGGTTTCAACTCCAGTCAAGAGTTCCCCTCAAACTGCCCCCTAAAAACCCCGTGGTTTTTAGATAGGCATGGAGAGTTATCCAAGCCTGAAGAAAATGCTCCTCCTTCCTCCATGGAAGGAAAGCACTGAAGCATGCTCTTTTGAATTTAACGGAAGTTCTGGCTGGGGCCTTTTTTGGGGCAGTTTTTTTTTTGGGATTTTTTTTTTTTTTTTTTAAATACCTACATCCCAGGGAGCACCAATTGAAGAATATCATGGTCTTGTTCTCTCCCCACCGTTTGCCGCTGAGCGGAGAGAAGAGCTGGGCTCCATCTCTGTGGGTCTCAGTGAAGGGGATGACATTGTTCATGGCTGCTGGGACAAGGAATGGGTGAGTCTGAGTACAAAGAGTCGGCGTGAACTCATGCTTCCTGAAGCATTCACATTTAAGGTCATGTGTTTTCTTTGAAAATGTCTATTAAGAAGGAAGTGTTCAAGGGAGCAGATAATTCACTGGCAAATGTCAGTCTGGAGTTTCTCAGACCCCCCTGCAAGGACAGATGCTGTTAGACAGGCTGACTGCTCGCAGGAGACCTGGGAAAATGGTGCTTGGGAAAAAGCAGAACGGGATGGATGCCCAAGTTTGAGCCCTCAGGGAGCAAGAGTCAGCCGAAATGCTGGACAGCAGGAGACCAGCCACGCTAAAGGAAAACATCAGCAGGAAGGGGTCTAAGGACCTTTCACAAAGGGCCGTAAGCCAGGCCAGAGAGGTCAAAGCATCCTCCAGGGGGACCCCTGCAAGCTTTCTTAACAAAACCCAGCCACTCTACGCCCAGAAAGTAATGCTACTCTAATTCGTCTAGGCTTACTGGAAAACCTGGAGGGAACTGGCTAGTTGGGTGGGGGGTCTCCACAACTGAGCCACACCACGAGGCAGCCTCAGGGGAGCCCCAGTTTTGCACACTTTTGCATGTGCACAGCTCCTTTTCCCAGAGCTGACCACTCTCCCTCTCAGCTGTGCAGCTGGTGGGGCAACAACCCCTGCACCGGTGGCACAGGGCTTTCTGGATGTTTGACAGAGGCTAGTGGGGAGATGACAGGTCACACTAATTTTTCAGGAAACACTATTTCTGTTGAGCTTTTCGTAAGTCACTTTCCTAAGTTACAGTATGAAATGCAGAAAGCTGGAGTTAAAATAAACTTGCTAGCTGGTGAAAGCTGGTTCACCAACGGCACAGAGAGGGGCAGAGAGAGGGCTGATGCTCACAAAAAGACCACTAGCAAGTTTTCTAGTTTTTACTTCCCTATGACCCCATATGCCATGCTTGTGTTTTCCTCACAGACACACACCCCACTAATACATGTGTTTGCAATTCTTAAATTTAAGTGTTAGTAAAATATATTAAGACCCAAAAGAAAGGAGTTTTGTATGGCTAAATCTCATCTGAAGCTGCCAAAATTTAATGCTAGCAAAGGATTTGGAAGAGAAGAAATCTCAGCTTGGGTTTAAATTAATTCCTAGCTATCAGGAGTTGCAGGGAGATGTGTAGAGTGCCAGAAGGTGGTGGAAGAAGGAAAGGGGATTGTGTGAGGGCACTGCCTATAGCCATTGTCCAGCAGAGGAGTTTGGATTATAAAAAAAGATAACTAAGTCAGCTGGAAATTTTCAGCTGAAGGAAAGAGGCAGCTGAGAGACACGTGGCAGAGATGCATACAGTCACAAGGGGTCTGCAAAAGGCAAAGAGCAATGAGTGATTCACCACCTCTTTTAATACAACAGCCAGAGGACATCAAAAGGTATTAGGAGTCAGCATCACATCAAACAGGAGATGGTTCCTCACACAGTTTCTAGTTAAAACCACACACCTCCCTGCAAAGCAATGTCATGGAAACCAAAATCCTATGGGAGCTGAAAAAGAGGGTGAACAAGCTCACGGGATACAAATCCACAATATACGTTTCTGATGAAGCTCCAAGCTGAACATGACCTTCTGATGAAGCTCTCACACATCTGCCAACATCCTTGGGTCCAAACTGGTGCAGCCATCCACTCTTACCTGCCCACCAGGCTTTGGCATGGCCCTGGGCCCGGCAGACCTCAGGCTCGGTACCCCCCAGCCAGCTCCACTCCTTGAGAGTCCTCACCGAAAGGTGCCCCATACTTTCACCCCAGGGGTTCACCAAAAGGCAGGGGGTCACTGCAGGCTTCCCCTCCTGCTGCCAGCGCCACGGGATGTGTTCACCTCCCGGGAAGCAGTCAGGCTGGAGAGAGAAACACTGAAAGGGCGCAGATACCATCGGAGCTGCTCTCCCCGCTCAAAGGCAGACTTCACAAAAGTTCAGTGTCTGATGAGAGGCTCAATTCAGAAACCAAGCAAAGAGTTGCTGCTTAGAAAAAGGCATGGGAACAGTGACAAAAAATGGACGCCTTAGCGTCCCTATATCAAGGAGTTGCAGGTAAAATATGTTTTCAGTCTGGTTGTCTTGTTTTATACCTGCACCTGAGTTTTCCTCCCTTTGAAGAAATGGTTGCTTTGCTGTTTGGTTGAAGTTGTTAGGAAGCAATCAGCTCTTATACTGAATTAAATGCTTTTTATTATGCAAAGGCTGACACTGTCTGAGCTGTAACTGAGTGAATGTGAACAGCATATTAATTCAAAGTCTGTATGATTACACTTTACCTTCAAAGGTCACTCAGCATTTTCTATTTGCCAAGTCAGTGATTTTTGGTGTATGCTGTATGGGCCTCTGGATGTCTATGCATTCTTTCTAAGGTATGTGCAAAAATCAGAGCAAGCCAATTGAAAGGTAGACTTGAGCTCACGGCATGAACTTAACTATAAAACGTAAAGATAGTAAAAAAGATCCAAAACACTAAAAGCCACAGTGCAAGTATTTTTCCTGAGTAATGTCAAACAGCATTAGGTCAGGGGTCGCTTTTAAGAAAAACTGCGCAAAGACAGCATATTTTATTCAGAGAATTCAGTGGTGCATGTACTAGACATCTTGCATTTACTTTTTTTGTTCAATCTGTTCTGAATATAATTAGCAAACTGACAGACTGCTTCTTTTCAGCAAGTAGTGTGCTTCCATCATCTTTAGGTCATTCCGATGGCAGAACAATGTTTAGGCAGGTCTGCTCCATATGGATTTCAACTCCACGGAAGCAAAAATTTGGATATGCCTAAGTGCCTCATAAGCCTACCAGAAGTTACATCTGTATCTTTAAGCAACTAAACTCTTTCCAAAACCCAAGCCAACATCTGCTAAGACTTGGGAACTTGCAAGGCGCATCTTTTCCCATGTGCTGTACATTCTCTATGTCCAGCTAAATAAGTGCTGGTTTTATGGACGGAAGTAAAGAAGGATTCAAATCAGTATTAGAAACATGGTTTAATGCTAGTATCCCAACATGATAAAAATATTCTCTGCACCTCAAATTTAGTGAACATTAAAAAACAAACAAACAAAAAAAACAAAAACACAAAACAAAACCATTCAAAACCCCCAAAAAAGTGTGAAAACCTACATTTCATCTGCGGCAAGGGCAAACTGTAGAGTTACAACACAGTGACAGAGCATGGAAAATGGGGAATATATGTCCCTCTAATTTAGACATAGCTCACTGACCCTGCATGATTATTTTATATCACATATTTAAATTAGTTTTACAGCTTTCACCTAAATTGTTCTTTCTGGTTCTTAACTAGATTTAACAGAAGCTAATTGGATCAGAAATTGACTGAAGTGTGATCAGAGCCATCTTCTCCCCAGCACAACTGAGGCAGAAGCTAGAAGTCACACCAACAAATTTCACGTAAGCCACCTGCTGTGCAAACGCTGGGGGACTGAAAAGATGTTGTTGCAAGAGCAGTTTGCTTGCTTGCTAAGAAAGTGCAAATTAAGGAGTGCCCGCACCAACATCCTTGGGCAGCTGTGTCCCCACAGTCGGACAGGAACCACCAGGCAGTTTCAGCCATGGTAGGAAGGCAGAAGACACCACAGGTGACACATCCTCCAGAAGCAGCACAACACAGGCTAGCGTCCCGTTATTGAAGAAGTTAATACTACTTCTTTTTCCCTCATCAGGTCACAGCAAGTCCACAGGCAAGAAAGCTGATGAAAACCAGAACTCGCTGGTACCAGAATTTGTTTTCTTTTGAGAAAAGGGCTTTCCTGCTAAGGGTTCTTCCTTTAATGCTGAAATGCAGCCATATCCCAGGCTTAAGTGCATCTTGCCATCACATTTGGCATTTGTTCAACCTGGGAGATGCAGTTATTACCCCAATGACACTTCCTGTTTGAAAACTGTTGTAAAAAAATAATGAGTACACTTTGGAGATATGCCACCTCTTCCACTGTGCTATTTCACACTCAGAAGAGAAAGCAAGCCCTATTCATCCCTTGTGAAAAAAGGGAGGCTTGCACTGTATAATCTGTGCTGTTTGGGTTGTTTTCTTACCGCTGGCGAGCTACTGTATCACAGACTCAAGACAATGCCCTCTTATTCAGCCCTTTCACCAGGTGTCCAGAAAATTGTCTTGGCTGCAGCATGAAGTGCTTGGCAAGCCTGACAGTGACCACTGCCTCGGTCTGTCTGCCTTGGCAGCCCACCCTCAAAAGCCAGCTCCAGCCCCTTCTCCTTAGGCTTAGCCCAGCGGTCGCAGCACTGAAAACCTTTCCGTGCAGTTATGGGAGCAAGCACCACGCACTTGCTGGAGCTGGTGGCCGAAGCACTCGGTGGAGGTGGAAATGGAAATGCAGAGTTCCTCCTTTGACTCACAGCTTGATCCCTGACGGACAGCTTGATCCGGTGCCCCGGCAGGTTTGTTGGGTTACAGCATCCAGGAAGTACAGTCAATGCAGGAGCAATTCAAGCTTCAAGGGCTAGATAATACCCGAGCTCCTCTGACTCCTGATTCAACCCTGTAGCAACCTAGCCCGCACCCAGAGGGCTAGCCCTCACCCCACCCTGCTTTTAAGCCCCATCCACAACCCGCCTTCCTCATCACTGTAATGCAGAGAATAAATGCATTAGCACCCCAGGAGCCTGTGGTCTCTGACAGGAGCCGGCACAACAGCAAGAGGCATCTCGGAGCAAGGAGGGGCTGTGCTCAGGAAAAGCACCTGGAAACATACTGCAGAAGCGTACTTCAAACAGTGCCCTCTCCGAGAGGAACAGGACACTTAGGGCTGCTCTGAAAGTGTCAGGCAGACACTTAGAGCTGGTCTCAAACAGCCTTTTCATCCCACAGAAGAGTACAGTTTCTACCTCCCACCAACCTCATCTCAGTGCAAAGAGGAAAAAAAAGGACTGGAAATAGCCTCTGTTACCATTGGTGCCAGAGGACAAGAATACCTTCAGAAAGAGACTCAGATATTTATCTTTAAGACGCAAATTGCTCAAGACCTAAATTTGTCTATCTCTACATGGTGATGATCCGGAGCAGCTCCCTATCATGCATCAGCCAAAACTCCAAAGGGAAGGACCCACACAACACAGTTTTATGACCCACTGGGATGTGATGAACCCCCCCCAGGGCAGACAGCGGGTCTGGGTGGGAGAGCCACAGAATCCCCGCCCCGCCAGAAGCCAGGCGCTGCTTTAGGTGAGGAACCAGCTGCAAGGAAAGTTCCCTTCGTGGAGAACGGGTGGCACATGTCGCTGAGCTCCCACCCTTCCTGGTTGAACCCACAAGCCTCGCACCTCCACCAGCTGCTGCCCCCCAGGGACCCCCAGCACCCGCGCTGCAGAGCTGACGTGGAGGGGAACGCTCTGGCTGGTGGCTGACTTACCTTTGAGTTCTGGAGGCAGTTCACAGGTTTGCCCAAGCTCAGCTGGAGCACAGCAGCTTGGCAGATGGTTCTCTGGTACCCTGGGGACCCACCTAATCTTACTCTCCAGATGCGGATCCCTCTCTCCCTTCCTTGTGCTCCCTTCCCTAAGCCCCTACATTGCGCTACCTCTAAATTACTCTTTAATCCAGCACCCAGCAGTACTCCACTCTCAGGACCCGTGCAACTAAGCAGAGGAACTCCACAAAGAAACACACGCAACACGTCAGAAAAAAATCACCCTGCTTCCCAGGCCTGCCAGCCTGTCCCTCCATGGAGAAGGGATTGTTTCAAGCAACCAGCTGCATTGCATGCTCAAGGACAGTTTATCAGCCACAGCCAAAGCACCTTTCCTCTTGACAGCCGTGTGTGTGGTGTGACTTGTGCCACCTCCACCACCAGCCCCAACGCTGAAGCTCTCAGCACTTTGCTCAGAGCACGCCCATGGAAACAACCACTTGTCTGCAGAGATGCTCCATGGCACTGGGCCACAGTAGTCCCACAGACAGACTGCTGCTTCATCCCACAGGAATCAAACCCCAAACCATCTCTTAAATCAAAGCTGAGAAAACAAATGCCAAACTTTCCTAGTAAGATGGGCAAGAATAGAAAGGTCCATTTGTGGAACGAGGTGGGGAGGGGAATTGCTTCGAATGATATCCAGGTCTTTCAGCTATGCAGTGTGACAACAGCAAAGAAATTCTTGCTGAAAAAAACACCGACTAGCATGTTCATTAGGATCCTCACTGCTCTTTCCCTTCTCAATTTGATGTTAATAGAAATGGCAATAGCAAATCAGATAACGTGCTCAAGCACCAATAGCACCCCTTTCACAGAGGCAAGTTATGCAAGAATTTTCTTTATGTATCAAGAAGTACGAAGTTTTTTATTGTATCAAGTTTTGAAGGGAGCAGCGTGTAACTTTCTTGGTAATATTTTTAACCCCACTACTACCACCGCAAAGGATTTTCTGATGCTAATGAACCAAGGCTGAAATTGAAGGGGAGCACAGGGACTCCCACATGGTTTAACCTCACCTGCTCTCTCACCAAAGGCATACCCCAAAACCAACATCTCTATAGCCAACCCCTCAGTCTGTGTAAATCAAGACAACAAGGCCAGATTCACAGCTAGCATTAAACTGGTAACATCTGCTGAAACACATCAACTGAGGATATGACTGATGGAAAAGCATTCGAAGTAGAAAGAAGTTTCTTTCTACTAGCTAAACCAGAAAGGCTTGGATGATTCTCAGCAGCCCATTACAATTCCTTCAAACAGTGAGTGTGCAACCACCAGTTTCATTAGAAATATTACATTTAACTTTCTGTTTTAATGGCCCTACACACAGACAGAATTAAAGCGTGACTGAAGCTGCAAAGGCAGCAGTAATTGCAGTTGCCTGTTACACGCCTAAATCACTTCAATAACACATAGATGTGCTTGCTCGGCCTGACAAAATACTAACTGGCACCCTGTGGGAGCCAGGTAATTGTTGTTTATGGCATGGAAATACTGAGTCTGTATGGGAAGTTAGCATCTTCAGTGAGTTTGTGTGAAGTTCAAGCTCATTACAACTCTGTGTTTATGTTCCTTCCCATTGAGAAGCGCAGCTCCAGTCCCTGGTAGCAAGGATGAAGGTAACAACACAGTCCCTGTGTACATTTAGTGTTCTAAAACTTCACACCTTCACTGGATTCACCTCAACCCCACTCCTCCACAGAAAGCACAACGCTGCTACTCAGCCAAAGACGCTGGCTTTGTCACAGCATTGTATTTAACTCGAGAATTTGGTTATGATGAAGAGAGTTTGTCAGCGCAGCAACAGCGCCGGTTTGTTACACAGACAAGTTACATGGAGACAGAAGTAAAACCAACTGCACAGGATGCAGGCTGGGGGGTCCCAGCCCTGGGGTGGGGGTCCCAGTGCAGCCTCCCTTGTGCCGTTGGTGTCTCTGGGGATCTAGCAGTAATGAGGGCAGATGCGGGCTCTGAGATTTTTTTCCCTTAGTGTAAAAAGCGGGGGGGGGAAGAAGGAAGGAGAAAAAAAGGAAAAAGAAAAAAAAAAGGGAAGACATAAAAAAAGGAAAAGGGGGAAAGGGAAAGAGAAAAGATAAGAAGTGAAAGGGAAAAGAAAAACAAAAAAGAAATGGAAATAAAAAGAAAGGAAAAAGAAAACTAAAGGGAGAAAAGGGGAGAATAAAAAAGAAAAGGAAATGAAAGAAAACAAAAGGCAAAAGTAAATGGAAGGAAGAAAGTACCCCCGTCCGAGCGCACCCCCCGCACCGCAGGGCACACGCCGCCCCTTACCGCACCGCCGGCTCCTTCCATCTCCCATCGCCGGCCGCGGCGGATCGCAGCCGCCCTCCCGCCAGGCCGAGCCGTG